TTTGACTGTGTCACAGGTTCCGTCAAGCCCAGGCAATTCCACAAAAGGGAAGAGAGGTGGAGCTGAGGGTGGGGCTGCAAGGCTGGGATCAACTGACGACACCCGGTCGAACTAGCTACAAGCTAACCTGAAGCTAACCCAAAGCTAACGCAGAGGTGGGAGCTAAGCTAACGGAGATAGCAACCTAGCTACAACCGGAGTTAACTGTGCACAACACCAGAGCTTCTGAGTCAGAGATACGCCGGGCTGACCGCTGGGTAAAACCGGGTGGAACACAAGAGGTCTCCGAGAGCTCCACAAGCCGGCAGCCCGCGCAGCAGACAAGCACCACTGCGATCTGAGATGCGCAGAGCTGCCGCTGGGGAGAACCGGGTGGAAAGGTTTCCATCCAGAGCTCCACAAGCCGGCAGCCCGTGTAGCAGACAGAAGCCGCGATCAGACAGAGATGTGCCGAACTGCGGGGAGGGGAGAACCGGGTGGAAAATAGAAGAATCTCGAGAGCTCCACAAGCCGATAGTCGGAACCCAGCTCCACCAACATGTTATATTTCAACCCATTTTCTAAAATGCAGCATTATGTTAAATGCACTGGGATTTGCCCTATTACTTTTAAATTTCATGGTTAAACAGTACATGTTAAAATCTAAGCTCAGCTAGTGCAAGAGCGGCAGTGACCTAAAATACATAAATATATTTTACTTATCGAAAAAAGGAAGTGGAGACTCATTGAACACTCTATTAGTGCAATTAATGCCACAGCAAGTCATTCTGTCCAACAATTGGACAAATAATATCCAAAAAAGAATACACAAACGCTACAACTAATGGTCTAAGTTGAGCGACTGAAAATGACCGAATAGTTTTCAGGCGAGGCTGAGTCTCAGACTGAGGCCTTTCCCCGGAGCAAGCTCGGTGGTCACGTGGGTCTGATGCTCATTAATTATACTGAATTTTAGGCTTTTAATACACTTAAACAGAAGAGTGAGAAAAAAATTCACCCCCCTCAGAGTTGTCATGAGTGTAAACTAGATCATTTAAACAAAAAACATGTTCTGGTACCAGGCTGTGTACTAGGCTGTAAACATGTTTATTTCTGCTGTGAAATTGGTATTTTTAAAATGGGAGCCAATGAGGATTTGCTCGCTTCTGACACCAGCCCCCAGCGGATGAGGGTGGAACTGCAATTTATTTCATTTCCGCGTTGGCTTCAATTTTTCATGGGTAGCACACACATATTATGAATGCCTTTGGCGGAATTCAAATGAGCCATTTCAATCTAGATTAATCTAGATTAATGCCAAGATTACAGTGAGATTAATCTTTAAAAATTAATCTATGCCCACCCCTGATGTTTAACATTTCTGATCATTTTCAAGGAGGGGGGGGGGGGGGGGGGGGGGTCTAAAGTTCTTTATTATTCCTGGTAATGTGTTTTAATGTTATTTTCATTTATTTATTAAGTCATGCATTTTTTTTATTGAAGTGTTCAAGGGAGAAAACTACGAAATCATAAAAATCTTAAAAGTATTGGGGGTTTCCAAGATGAGGGCTTGTGTCTCACATGGGTGGTGGAGCTCTCAAGCAGATGTCCTTTTAAAAGTTGTTTTTAGACAGAACTTTGCAAAACGCTCAATGCCTAACGGTTCCTTTTGGCTCTGATGTTTGCTGTAGTTCCTGGATTGATTAATAGATGATGGACCAATGCTTGGCGTTAAAATCGGCCAGCGGCGGCTTCCTGCATGCACGATTCATCATCAGTCTGGATGCAGTGGTGTAAACATCTTTTGTGACTGCAGCTAGAAACCACCGCTCTAGCCACGGGAGCATGAGGGCAAACTGCTGTAAGAGCACACCACATTATCGGTGAGGGAGTAGGAAGCTGTGTGCTTCATATCAGAGTCTTCAAAGGGCACATGGCTCACGGTCGCCTTTGTTTACCAATTTAAGGAGAACACCTCTACGCCCTGAATCACACATATGTTGTACTTCAATTTAAATTAAAAGTAATGATGTGTGTTTCGACCTCACCAGTCATGTATTTTGAGATTTTTCAGCTTGTAAAAATCAGTAATTACTATGACTACAATTACTATGGCTAAGTTTCTTTATCTGTTCCAGTGTCTTCCGATTTATATTTCTACACCTTTTTTTTGGAAGGAGGAGGGGTGATAGGTTGCTTTTGGGCTTTATTGCACAAAAAAAGTCTGAGAACCTGTAAAAAGGTGTTGCAGTTACCCTATCACTTGGAGGGCATGGCTTTTCCGAATTATTGCTGGGCTTCTAAAATGTTTCGTCATCTGTCTTTTTGTGATTATTATGTTTAGATTTTTTGTAGGATCGTGTGTGTGTGTGTGTGTGTGTGTGTGTGTGTGTGTGTGTGTGTGTGTGTGTGTGTGTGTGTGTGTGTGTGTGTGTGTGTGTGTGTGTGTGTGTGTGTGTGTGTGTGTGTGTGTGTGTGTGCGCGTGCGTACGTGTGTCTGTGTGTGAGTGCGTGCGTGCGTGTGTGTGTTTTCTCTGAGTGTTACTTTGAACTCTGACTTGTCTATTTTCTTCTTTGGGTTTGATCCAGTGTAGCAGGGTGGAGGGGAAAGGAGGGTCTTGTTTTAAAATTACTGTTAAAAAAAGGCTTTGATCAAAAAAGTATTGGCACTTAACATCGCTACCACTTCATCAATATTACCAAATATTTCATTATAACAATACTGACCCCAAATTAAATGAATAAATGCAAAAAACAAATTGTTGTCGAGGTTAAAGTGTTAACCATGCTTTACAACAATCCATCCATTTCTAGTGCTTATCTGAGTTCAGGACAGAGGGAAAGCCCCATTCCCTATCTCCCTAGCTCCTCCTGAGGTCCCAAAGCATTCCCAGACCAGAAGGGATATGTGTCATTCATCCAGCGAAAACCTCAAGAGGGAGGCAAACCATGATGCATTCTGTTCAGATGCCTGGACCACCTCAGCTGATTCACTTTGATGAGGAGGAGCAGCCTTCTCCCCAACTCCTTAACTCATCTCTAGATGCCTTTGGGATGATCCTGATACAGACCTGATGACCATGAGTGATGGACGGAACGTAAATGAGAGCTTTTCCCTTTGACTCAGCTTGTTCTCAACAACAAATGAAGCCCCAATCAGACACCAAGACACTAGAGCTCCTCCCATTCTGGGACCCACAGCTCAATAATTTCTAGAAAAGACAGAGGCTTTGGCATGCTGAATATCTCTCTTACTAGACTAATGTTAAAAATCCCCTCCTACAGCTTTACTGTGAGATCAGAAAACACTTGTCTGGAGGGAGCGTTTAGTTCTCTGAGCTCGAAGGCATCTGGAGCAAACCTGTGGCGCCCTAGCTCAGAGGTTGTGATGCTAATATCTAGATTTACACATCGTTACTTCCCTGATCGACACGTCGTCTCTAAAATGACCCGGCTGCAGTTCTGACCCGTCATCAACGGGGACAATGAGATGACTTTCAAAATAAATTCTATCAAATCCTCAAACTGTTACACACCATGAAATGTGTTTTCACCAAGCTGCTTAGTTTCCTTTAATCATCTGCAAACCTGGCATTTGAAACTTAGTAACAAATGTCTTTTGTTTGAGGCTGTGTGTGATTTATTAAGACAGCAGCAGGTGTATCAAACTCTGCAGAATCAATTGGTGAATCTTCACCTTGATCATGTTATAAAAGGTGAGAATTTGTGATAAATTGCTGTTTATCCTGCAGCTAAACCAGTATGAATGATGTTTGTCTTGCTAGCAAAGAAGATCAGCAGTGAAATCATCTCAGAAAATCACTACATCATCATTCTGGCTTCACCAGTCAGGGTTTCTCCATTTTCTCTGAACAAAGTTGCACATTTCTCTGGAGAATCTTATTTGAGATGGAAAGAGTACGAAGCGGCGGAGCTGGCGACGGGAAAGGGAAAGAAGGTGAGAACATTTCCTGAAAACGCAAGCTTTAGCTGTGCTGCACGCTGCACTTAAGAGCCGAGCAGGCGTAGATGATGGCATCTCTGTCTCCGTCAGGATGGATTTCACCCCATGTGATGTGAGTGAGTTTGGAGGAGAGCTCAGTGCTGCTTCTGCGTGATGTTACACTTTCTCAGCCTGGTTAAGTTTCTCTAAAACCTTCTACTTGTTTCTTTTTTTTATTACTCTTTAAAAGCTAACAGCTAATTTCCAGGTCTCCATCCTTCCAAATGACCCCGTGACCCGCTCTCAATGAGAACCGGTCAACTGGACGACGGCTCGATCCGAGCATTGGAGCGCCGGAGCTCGGCACATCAATCCTCTTCAAGCTCGCTCGCTCGCTCAGAGACAGGAAATAAGACAAAAAGAGGGGGGATCAAGCAGCATCCATCTGAGCGCGTGTAGGTTTAAGCCGTGATTAGCTCGGGGGCACTGACAACCAGACGGCAGGCGAGAGTAGGGTCACACCAACTCATCCCATTTCTCCCTTTTTCTCCCGACGTCACAAATGTGATGTAAAGTGAAAGCGTGCACACAATCTGTTTTCTGGCCACATTTTCACATGAGGAGCAAAGAAGATGCATGTATGTGTGCACATACAGTAGATACAGTAGTAGTGCCGCTGCTCTGGAGCAACACTGCCCCCTGCTGGATACTTTCATAGCATTAAAATAAGATGAGAAACCAAATAACCCTAACCGTACATCCTGTATTAAATCTGGAAAGAACCCAACACCTCTGAGGAAATGTTCCTTGTTGGAGTCACAACACAAATAAATCATTCAAGGATTTGATTCTAAATTTCCATTATGGAGATTAGAAATAAACCCAGATTCCTGTCTCAGCTCCGTTTGAAGCATTCTGACACTTCTGTTTGGAAACGTTCCAGCTTGAGGAAGCACGTGGCTTAAGGAATGCTGGCTGGTGAGCAGCTTAATCCCTGATGATGCACACCACAGGGAACAGGTTCTAAAACACACGCAACTAGAAAAGCAACAAGTGCCCAGAATGGAGACACACTCACCTACAGTCATGGTCTCTGGGAGACCAGATGTTGGTAAAAGACTGGAAAGAGGAGCAGCCTGGGCAGGTGGACTGGACTCCATGCTGAAGTGAAACATAAAGAGAGACCAACTGTTTAATCAATCTTATGATTGGTTTGGGATATGAAGCTAGAGTCCAGACACTCGTCTGTTTGATTTGGTTTTCTTCAGTAGCACCATGTTTGGGTGTGTGGTGATCTCTTACGTGAAAGTGAGCTGTGATCTGCTGCTCTCACAGTTCTCCACCGACCCTGTTGAGTCACACTGCATGGGAAATACGGCCGTGTCCTCTACCGAGCTCGCTGGAAAGAAGAGAAGTGAAAGTGAAGGCAACACAGAAATTACCCACATTTCATCTGAGAGGCGGCCGAAGCCCGAAGCCGGAGTGAGGACGTGACACACCTGTCTGAGTGTCTGCAGCATTCACAGGAATCAGGATGCTTGAGGTGCTCTGGTCGGCCACGGCCTGTAGAGGACTCCACGTCGACACGCTGGGCAGACTGCCCACCACCATCCTGATATGAGACACCAGTCTGAGTCTAGCTGCTGTTCATCTCTGCTCTTTCCTGTTCTGAGCTTAAAGTTAAGTTGCATTTGCTGCTTTCTGTCAAATAAATCCATCTTTTGAGAAGCATTTGTGATATTATTGGTCTCCTGATCTGTTTAGGACTTGAATTCAGTTGGTGCCTTTAAAAGCACCACATTTGGTAACCATTCCTAGTTGCATTGTTGCTGTTTTGCCTCTTTAAGTTTTAATTTGGCAGCAATGCGCTCTGATCCTGCATGGACGGGAGCTAGCCAATAGCATTCCATAACGTCTAAGTCTCCAAACGGAGGCTGTTCAGGAGCGATCTGCAACAAGGGAAGAGAGTAGCTATAACGTTTAACCACTTTATAACTAATCTCTGCTGCACCCTGTCCCTCAGATGGGTCAGAAACGTTAGACCCATTTTCAGACTCATAAATGAAGCCACTAAACTCACTGATCAGTGGGGATCCTCTCTTCCTCCTGTGTTCGTGTTCTGGGTTTACACATCTCCTCTTCCTCTTCCTCTTCATTGTCCAGACTCTTACTATCAGGTAGAGGAGGTGCAGCGGGGGAGGCAGTGCGAAATGGGCGGGGCGACCCTACCCAGCTGACCAGCCCTGGTTCTGCCAGGCCGTTCTGAGCAGGAGACGTGGACACGGTCGGCTCTAGAGGGTCGATCCCGTCCTCCACGCTGCTCTGAGCCAGAGCCACGACACTCCTCCTCATCACCCTCCCCCTCTGGGAGTCTTCCTCCCCCTCCCCCTCGTCCTCAGCCCCGCCATCCAGGTCGTCGTCGAAAGAGATGATGTTGGTGATCATCTTCTTCCTCCGCCGCTCTTTCCTCAGCCCGGAGTCTTACGGGGAAATATAAAAACGGGAATGATCAAAGACTGAAATCTGAACCTTGAAAATCTATCATTCGGGTTTCTTCTAACCATTCATTCATCTTTGAGTTTATTTTGACCTTAAAATGCAGACAGCCAACAAATCAAACAGATGTTCGTCTGTTTCTACAATTGTTCCTCCACAAATAACATCATTGCTCATGCAGTTCCAGTGTTTTCTGGCTTTAATACCAAACAGGCCTCGCTGACAGCTCCGAGGCTCTCAGAGGCTGAAAAATCAATCCAAAGCTTATTTGGCAGCAGGTATTGGAAGCAGGCTGTAATTTTCTGTCTTTGGGAGAAGACAAACACAATCAAAAAGACAAACTGCATACTGCACTTCTGCTACATCGAAGACACAGCTCATTTTAAACAACAGTCTGTTCTCTTTTTGAGGCTGCATTAGCAAATTATCCACCTATGAATAATGTGTGTGGGTCATCCCACTGCCAGGAGCTCAACGTTTCATTTATATTCATTCTGAGGGAAAGTTTGGCTTCCACAGCTAAAGCTGCAAGGGCAAATCTGCAAAACAAGCTAGCCTTTAAACACAAACACAGTTACAAAAGTCACAGCCCTCCCATTGGCTATCGTCCCTGGGCCACGTCTGCCGGACACCAGAACGTGCATTGCCACAGCAAACGAGACAGCACTAAACGCCAGTCGCTGTTTTCTAGGTCCAAAAGTCTTTTGTTGTGCGTGACTTTAAATTAGCGCTGGGCGATATGGCCTAAAATCAATATCACGATATTGAGGATTTCACCTCGATAACGATAAACGGACGATAACTACAGGTATGCGCAGAAACAAACATCGTCCACTAGATGGAGCTGTCGCGTGTATTACGTTGAGTCACATTTTTACGTGACTCAAGGTGAAACAGCTTCTTAAAGAGGCATGAAGGTTGACAACCTACACACATCTCTTCATTTTTTATTATCAAATTCATTGACATGAGAAAAATGATCGCGATAAAAGTCAGAAATTTCGATAACGATAAATTTTCGATTTACTGCCCAACCCTACTTCAAACGGTGTTCATTTTGGGACTCTGGTAGTTTGTCCTAA